ATTAGACACTTTAGGATCTTTCACAAATAATATATAGCAACTTTCTTCAGTTTCTCCAAAATTGTCAATAATTTGTAGATTGTCAGCATGGTGTAGGGGAAGAATGATCATTAGGTGAGTCCCTGTGGATAAATTCTTTCATTTCTGTAATCCCCCTCAGTGAAAACATTAGCCATGACGTGCTTTGGTGCTTTGACCATCCTTTTGCCTCAAAACTTCTCTGACCTTTCTGTCCTCATCAGAAAGATGTATGTTGTTGCTCAGCACAAGAATATACTCGATTTTATAGACATATGCCCTCCAGTTAGAGACAGTTTAGATTTAGAAGATGAAATGCCATTGAGGCTTGTGAGCTTTCTGATAAAAATACACCTAAGTGCATTTTGAGAGATGCAAGTCGGGTGGATGGTGTCATGGAAAATGCCTGGGCACAGGAGCTTCCAAGAATTGACTGGAAATCCAACCTTCATTTATCAGTTGTGTGATTTGGGACAAATTCATATAGAGTCCTCATCTGAAAAATCAGAATAAAAGTCTATCTTCTTGAATTGTTGTGAAAATTGAATAAAATAACATTTAATGTGCCAAGTTCAGGGATGGAAACTGCAATTCCCCGTCTCTCTAGCTTCCTGTCAGCTGTGATCTAAACGAACAAGAGCTACCTCTTACCAAATTTCTACAAGTATTATTCTGTCACTTTAGTTCCCCTTTGATTCTTGCTTCTCCTATATGCCTTACGTATTTTGTCTAATGCACCTATGTTCCTTGTTCTGGTTTTATTCTTTCTTCTCCGTGTCACAGATAATTTAGCTAAAAGACCAACACACAAAAAGTTTGTGGCACCGAAAAGATAAACAATGAATTTGTAAAACTATCTGAATTCAAATGTGTAGACTAGTTAAATGAGTTTGAACGTTGCATCTATATCATCTGGCTTGTTCTCTCCATTGATCACCCTGGTGTGTGATGTCAGTAGCTAATAACAGCCCCTGCCTGCCCTTGATAATGTCTGGCAATCTGCTGTGGAGCAATTAACCTAGAAACTGTTATTCTTTACACAAAACTCATCAAGGAGGTCAGCAGATGATAATAATTTTTGCCTTCTGTGTATCCAAACGTTCATAAATGTGTTATTTGAAACATTTTATCCCCATGAGATAAACAGGTATTGTTAGATATTAGTTGTTTTAATTAAGTTTTCTAAGCTCTTGTAAATAAGTACCAGAAGCAAAAACTGGAAGTTCAGCCTCCTGTTACATGGTGCTAGTACCCACGCAAAGGGGGCTCTTTGAAAGCCTTGATGTGACAGGATACAATAATTAATCGCATCTGTCTGTTAAATACAGCATCCCACTCTTACATACAGGGTTTTGTTTCCTGACTTGTTGCTGTTGATTCTAAATAGATACCGGTAATTTTTAAAGGCCACTTTGTTTTGACATTATCTGTCCTAAATGTGCTGTCTTGAAGAAGGGTTTCTGATCAACTGTATGCACACACACCCTTCCTTTCCTTTTCTTTTCTTTTACAATGATTTGTGAAAAATATACACAAAATAAAAATTAAGCACACTTACATATACAGTTCAGTAAGTATCTCAACCATACTTAAATATGCAGTTCAGTAATATCATTCTATTCCCATTGAGGAAATCTATTTTCTTCCTGCAAAACTGAAAGTCTCTGTCCATGAAATAGTAAGTTTCCATTTAGTTCTCTTGGCCACTGACAGCACCACTGTACTTTTTTTTCTATGCATTTGAGCACTCTTGACATGTCATACATGTAAACATGCATAACATTTGCCTTTCTGTGACTGGCTTAATATCCTCATCATTCAGCCATGTTGTCAGAATTTTCTTCTTTTTATGGCTGAATAGTAGTATTCCATTCTCATTTAAACACTGTTTTGCTTATATAGTCAACCACTACTATTTAAATTTTCCCCATTTGATTGCAAATAAACCTACTATGAACATGAGTATATAACTATCACTGTGATAATGTCCTTCCTTCTTTGGATATATTCTCAGAAATGGTATTGCTAGACTGTAAGGAAATTATATTTTTCAAATTTTTAAAACATTATCATCTATTGCCCATAGCAGTTGTGTCAGCCATCTATCCTAGGTAAAAGGATAAATTAAAATCATGTAATATTCTTTGCTCTCTACCTTAATCTAAGCCTCAAATCAGTGATTGTGTTTTATATATTGTACCTTTTCAACAGATCTTTTTTAAAGCTATTATATCTTTTACTTTCTCTAATTTTTTATTTTAAAGATTAAAAAACCAAAAACATATTAACAGACACACAGATATAAATAAAAACAGAAAAACAATAAAAGTAATGAAGAATTGCAGACAAGGTGATATGAAATTAACAGTGGTTGTTGTATTGCATATTGGTATCTTCATAATGGTTACTCAGATAAACAAATATAGGCCCATAAGTTTGATCAAACAACTAAACATTAATTGTTCCTTTCAATAACACAATAGAAATTAGTAGCACATCTATCTTAGCTGTCTTGTGTATATATATTAACATTTTCCACTTCTTTCTTATCTCTTTTCTCTCATCCCAGTTGTTCTTCCTTTTGAGCAGTTTTTTTTTCCTTTCACAATATCTATTGTACCTTTTAGATTTTACTTACTCTTTCAGGTTCCTACGCTGGGGACACAATGTGATGTTCTTTTCAATCTATCTTGATGCTGTCTTGCTTACAGACTAAATTATTTCATATTCAGATCACTACAATTAACTGATTAGGAGCTTATCCCACCAATGGGTATTTCTCCTGGTTATAGTTTGTGTCTGGATGTCCCCCCAAAGCCTCATGCAGTCATGGGGCAGACTTTTAGTTTATGACTGATCCATGGTTCAATGATGGGATTATGGGTATGAGTGCTATACCCATCCTGGGGCAGATAGTTTGCATATGTAAGGGAGAGAAAGAGGCTGAAAGCTGCCAATCCTCCCCTTTTTGCTCTTGTTGCCCCCCCTGTCTGCCCCCCATGGAAGGTTGCCCTGTGCCGTGTGCCACTGTGCCTTGGAACCAGCCAAGTATGGACTGAAACCTCCAAAAACTTTGAGCTAAATAAACCTTTCCTTCCTTAATTTTGGGTGTCAGGTATTCTCTCTCAGCAATGAGAGAAAAATAACCAAGACACCCCCTTTCAATATATTTTTGTGTAATTCCTTTCACTTAAACTTTTTATAATAGAACTCTGATGCTATCATTCCTTTGATATTAAAACATATCCCCTTTTATTTGATAAAATGCACAATCAAAACTGCCTTAATGATCAAGATTTGTCATAATTTTAACCTCATTTAGCAGTCTAATTTCTACTAAAATAATCACTGTGCCTGGGGTGTAACCAGTGTAAATTACTTAAAGGCATATTTCCTTCCCTTTCTACTTTTCGGTTCCCTTGCCTTTTTATGTATATAATATTCACTATCTGCAATGCTTTTAAACATACTTTCTGTCTCAACCAAATGCTTCATGTCTTCTAAGATCCAGTTACAATTCTGAAATCATCCCCAGTTTCATGGTTTTATTAAATGTCTCCAAAACCAGGATGCCAACAGCATTTCATTGATTTTAGTTGTATGGCGTTTATCATTTTCTATCTTTTACAATAGTTATTTATGGATCTGAAATTTCATACAAGTTTTAGCATCCAAATTAAAACTTCAGGGCAGGTTGTGCATGTTTTTTATCTTTTCATCATTTCCAGTATATAGCAAAGCAACACTTTCTGACAATTAGCAATCAATACATATGTTCAGGCAAAAATGAATTGACAAGGAAATTGATATAAGTATTGTGGGTCATCCCAGAGTTTATTATGAGTCTTTGAAAGTAGTGATAACTAAGTGAAAAGGAAATGGGAAACAGGTGTTAAAGTAGGTCTCCTTTAGTCTGAAAACTACAAATCTTTTAGACAAATTAAATGCAGGTTGTCTGTGCATCGAGGACAGGAAACAAGTAAACCAAACTTTAGCTTCTTAAATATATCTTTAAGGAAAAGTTACAAGCAATGTAATAAGATATTGCTTATTCAGAAGGGGTATTTTTATATTGATGGTTAGCACCTTGTTGATTGCTAGCCTAAAAAACTAAAATTAGCTCAGTTTAAAATAAAGATCTGCTGGGTGTGGTGATGCTCGCATATAATCCCAGCACTTGGGAGACTGAGGTAGGAGGATTGTTGTGAGTTTGAGGCCAGCCTGGGCTACAGAGTGAGCTCATGGCCAGCCTGAACTGAATAGCGAGACTGTCTCAAAAGGACAAAAACAAAAACAAAAAAAAGATCTACCTTAATCTAATTGTTTTAGTCATGCTTCCATTTTATTTCAAAAACATTTTAAAATGTAGAAAAAATGACATTTTTAGTTATTTCAAAACTATACATTATTTTCATCACATTTGATTTTTCCTTAAAAACATTAAAAAATAAGTCTGATTTTCCATTTCTCCAACTAAGGGCAGGTTTTTAATTAATTAAGGCAAAAAACTTCCCTTGAAATCTATTGACAAACTTTCTATAGAAGCAGTAAATGTAGAAGTTTAAGTAAATATTCTGCTGAATTGTGTTTGAGTAGGAAGATTGTGGGGTCTCCAAGCATCCAATAAATTTCAATATTGTGTTGTAAAGGTAAGTTAACTTAAAATCTGTAATTCCTGTAATTAATTCATTTACTTTGTTCTTATTGATTAACTTTATTCTTGAGAGAAGCTTCCTAAAAATTACTGACTAGGGAAGGATTTGGAAACATATGATTCATGAAAGATTTTTCTCAATGTAGATGTCATTTTCACTACTTCTGTGTTAATTTTGAATTCACAATGTTACTTTTAAAAGTGTATTTTATACCATCAGGAATAATGGCCTTATTATCAAAACAGGATACTCATCAAATATTAATCAACTTGTTTTGTATTATTATCAGTACAGTAGCTATATACAGTGAAACGTTTGTCAATTTACCTGTGACCAAAGACAGTGAAAAGGGTAGATCGAAGAGTGCGATTCTGATCCTGAAATTTAAAGATAGTGACAGGATAAGCGCAGCATACACTAGGCAAAAATAGCAAGGAAGACCTCGTTCAGGACTGTTGTTTTAGGGGAAAAACTTACACTCACTCTGCTAAAACTAATGGGAAGAATTCAAGGGAAAACATGGAGAAGCTTTAGTGGGGACGTTGGCATATGTTCTTAGGACATCTGTGTTTGCTAATTGTTGTTTATGGAAGCTAGGGTTCTATTCTCCCATAGAGAATGGAAGACTAGGGTCCTATTTTTCTTGATGAATCCATTGCAAAAAGATAGCTTCTAGGTGCTTGAGAAAAATATATGTGGTTTTAGAAGATTTATGGCTGAAATAGCCAGAGAAAGGATTTCCAATTCAAAGTGTTGAAAAGTAAGTGCTCTAAGAAATGGGAGGACAAAAGAATAGGATGAGAAATACAGCTTGTTCAGGCTTCCCCCAGCCGAGAGGATACTAAGGCCCTTGTGTGGTGCTGGTGCTGGCATCGAGTGCTGCATGGATACTAAGCACCTGTTCTACCTCTGAACAACACCTCAGTCACTTAGGCCTGCTTGCTAACAATGCATATGCACTGACAGCTCATCAACAAGTCTTTCCAACTGGTTCTTTATTACACTGTTCACCAGAAGAATTCTGGTGACAACAATTCTTCCTAGAGAATGCACCTTATTTTTCTGGAGAAAGATTGTTTCTAACTTTTTCAGCAAACAAAATATTGTCTCGAATGGATTAAATAATTTTAGCATATTCTGTCAACAATTTTTAATACGAGTCTTCCAATAAAAGTTAGTTCTTGCTGCATCATTCCCACACCAGCTTTACCATACACCATGCTCATTTAATAAATCAAGGTTGACTAGGTGTTGCTTTCAAATTCAGGCCTCTTTTAAAGGTTTCAGCTTATGTATTGTGGTCAAAAAGGCTGACTCTATTGTTTGACTCATCCCACAATATAATAAGAAAAATAACATAAAATAACTTTATTTCAAAATACTAGTGTCATTATACTTTCTGATACAGCATGCTATTTTAAAATAAAAAAGATAAGAGTGGGAGAATGAAGAACACCCGGTGCTTACCATCAAGAAGCTGATATTTTCCTAAAGAAGAGCAAAATGCAGGATATCACCTTGGCTTTTCTTTTTGCCAACTGAAAATTAGATTTAAATATAAGAAATATTAACCTTATTCTTATTTTATGTTATAAAGTATTTATAGACAACAAAATTATGTAAGGATGAAATGGTATGTCAAATTATTACACAGAAAGCTTTAAATATTCCTGATTTATACTAGATACAGTGAATTAGCAAGTACAGTGTTTAAATTTAACCACAAAGTCTTCTCAAATCATCATCTAAATGTCTACATAGTTGTACAAAAGGGCACAGATGTTCACCCTTGAAAAGCCTGTAATTAAGACACATTAATACGCTGCATCTGCAGCCATTTCTAAGACTACTAAGCACACTTGTAAACACAAACAACCTAAAGAGAAATCTTTTGAACTTTCTTACTTTAACTCACAAGAAAAGCAAAATAAAAATCTAACCACACAAATTCATGGTAGTTTAACCACTATATTTGCTAAGTAGTTATGTGTACTTTATAGGCTGTACTGAAATTAAATCTATACTACGTCATTTTTACAGACATTGTTTCTGAACTTTATCGGGAAGATGTACTTGACTCTTATCTATTAAGAAATCAGAGATGTGACATTAATAAGCTGAATACACACAAATATTTGGAGATTAATGCAAATTCATGCACACTTATTGAAAGAGGAAGAGTCTTAAACTTTTGTTTTGACAAGACATTCAATAATTTGAGCATGTATGTTGCTTAAAACTGCCTTGAACGTATTGGAGCACAACTGGAAATTTATCTGTTGGTGGAATGAACACAGGAATTCTGTGTAATTTCAGAATAATTTTTTATAATAAAATTTTAACTCAGTTGTAAAGCTAAATATTTAGAAAATGCTCATATATTCGCAAAGAAAATTAAATTCATAATACTTAAAATAAATAGTGCATTGTTGCTTTTTCTCTTTAAAACTGAACTGCTACATTTTAAAACTAAGCTGCACTTTCTACATTTTTATAACTTCAGATATTTGTCATTTAAACTCATTAGTCTAAATTCTTCTTTAAATGTTCAATTTATGTTTCATAAATACATTTACATCTTTCCATTTGATTACACCTTAAGTGATGTAGAATTTCAAGAGATTAAGTGATGTCGAATTTCTAAGGACTGTGTAGAAACTCTTTGCAGGTGGGTTTCATGTCCTGGGCTAGACTGCAAGCATGATTCCGTTCGTTTTTAGGCTTTGCAACGTTCTCAGAGTTATCCTTCCCAACAGATTTCATTAGATTCTACTCAGGACCATTTCAACAGCTTCATCTTCTCAGAACATAGTGCAAACACCTGAGCAAGGCAATTGCTCACGGGTGGTGGATGTTTTCCTTTCATGGGTTGTGTGCCGTCGGGCTGTCTCCAGCAAACGCGTGAGGCTCTGTCACCCCTAGCAGCTTCCCACCCTTGCCTTTTCATTCCACCCCACAGGGTTTTATGAAACCTTTATCCTTTCACTGCTCACCTTTCAACCCAGAATTTCTCAGTTCAGATGTGATATTGCAATTAATCTGTCAAAAATGCTCTTGAGAAATGCTTCCTTGGAGAGCAGCACTTGAATTTTAAGATTTAACGTGCAGCTGTAATTCCAACAAATGTATAGATATGAAGCGGTGTTTGGGTTGACAAACAGATATGTGTTTATTTAAACTAACAGTTTCTTGAATTGCATGTATTGTAAACTCCCTTATAAATGTAGGCAAAAGCTTTATTTCATTTATCACTGTAAACAAATTTTTCTACACTTGCAGGTAAGGTCTTCTTAATGATTTGATCTATTGGACATTTTTGGAAATAATTTGAATTGCATAGTTAACACATCGGAAAGATGTGAAAGCAAACTAAACTGGGAATGTTTAATGTTGACTTAGTTTGGGTAGATATGCTAATGATATTGAAGGAAATGACTTGCCCATATAAACAAATAAAGTAAAAATGCTGATTTAGTGCATAGGAATCTGGAAATTTGCTCTATTATACATTAGGTTTGTAAGCAAAATAGAAAATAAAATTATAACTAGCATGATACTTGTTAAACATAACCACAGTTAATGATAACTGCGGGGTTTATTGGAATGTAATAGCCATGGTACATTATAAAGGTGAGTGATAAGCTCTAGTTTTTTTGACCATATTCTGTACAGCTGAATCAGACTCAGCTGAATCAGATGAATTGAAGTATTATTTCATGCACTAAGCAAGTACATTAAGTTATAATGAAATAATGCTTTTGAGCCTTTGTTATTTTCATCAACTAATGTTTGTTGGATAGTTATTCTATATAGAAGAGCACTGAGAAAGTCTCTGAGAAATTATGAAAATCACAACACTCATTTTGCACTAAGAACATACAATTCAGTTCAGTAAATAGTGTACTCAAATGTAAAATAATGAGACAATTATATTAAGATAATAATAGAAATCTCTCCAGCATGGATAATGTATCTAAAGTGTCCACTGACTTAGTACCACTGTCTGACATGTTTGATATATATACTTTGGCATATTAGTGAGGTTTTCAATCTAAATATATAATAATTTTTTAAGGTCCTACCATACAAATACATGATTCTGTTACTGGAAAAATGAAAGAGGGGTGAAAGGAAGAAGGCAAGAAAAGGGAACTGAAATGTGCTATGTACACCTACCAGTTCCCCACAGTGAATGAATCATTATGTACTGCAAACATGTACTAACAAAAGTAAAAAGAAAGCAAGAACGTAAAATCCCTTAGCGCCTGCTAAGAAGAAATGTTATTAGGGGATTTGTTTTATTTTATGGAAAAAATTTCATAACAGTATAATAGGAGAATAGCAACAGTTAGTACACTGCACATCATTATCTTTAAAGTAGATACTGGGAGTACAAGATGAGGGAGTAAAAAATCCCCAAAAAAAAATAACAAAAAAACTTCCTTTCAAAGAAACAAAAAAAAACTAGTAGTATAACCATCTTTAATTTTTTTCCTTTTCCCTTTTTTCCTTTCCCATTTCCTCTATCCCAGTTCCTTTTTTCCTTTGAACAATTTCTTCCCATTTCACAATATCTGTTGTACATTTTGGATCTTATTCACTCTTTCAGTTTCTCATACCAGGGAGACAATACGCTGTTTATCAATGTAAGTCCAATTTATTTCACTTATAAGTATGGTCTCTAGTTGCAACCACTGACATAAAATTCTCAAGTTTATCCTTCTTTATGGCTGCATAGTACTCCACTGTATAAAAATTCCCCATCTTTTTGTTTTCTCTGCTCGGTTGATGAGCATTTGGGTTATATGTATATAAACATGGGTGCACAGGCATTAGGGGATTTTAAAAGAGCTACAAGTGATTTCAACCAGAATTTTTAAAAGGAAGATAGAGACTGATTTTGGAAGTGTTGAAAGATTGCAGTGGAAGACATAAGTAACAAATTTTTGAGAAAAGATTATTTTAGTCAAAAATTTAGGTCACAAGAACATTTTAGGAGAATAATCTGTGGCATTATGAGGTATATAAATAAAATGAAAATGATTATTATTAGAATATGAATTTCATAAATCTAAAAAGGCCATATTATAACAAAATTCAAGTAGGAAATATTTTAAGTAAAATAGTATTCTTTAGTTGTATGAATTTGTGGGTGAATATGCTAATATGGTATCTGTATACAGTATCTAATGAAAAAAATCAGAATAGATAAAATTATCTCTAAAATTTTTTCTAAATTTTGATTAACTATAATTGGTATATAAATTTCTGAGGTAAATTTGGTGTACATTTCTGAGGTGTGGTGAATATTTTGAGGTACAGTTTATTTCAACGCATGTCAAGATTTATTACTGATAAAGGCAGGGTAACTAGTTTTGTATCTAGCAGTCCTTTGTGTTTGCAGCCTTAAAACTTCTCTCTTCTAGTTATTTGCAAATTTTAACACAAATTTATTGAATTATATGAAATTGAAACATCATACTATTCCCTATAAATACATATAATTTTAATGTGAAAGTTAAAAGAAAGAAACCTTAGTTGGACATGGTTTCACTCGCCTGTATTCCCAGCAGTCGAAGCTGAGACGAGGATTACCATGAATCTGAGGCCAGCCTGGGCTACACACACACAGGGAGGCCCTGTCTCAAAAGCAAAACAAAGTAAAACAAAAGGAAACCTTATAAATCATCCAGACTCTTTTGGAAGGCCCAAAAAGAAATAATAGACTTTCTTTGTGTGATATTATCCCCTCATTTTGATTTGATGAATCCCAGTATAAATACTATTTGGTAAAGGAAACCGTTTTTAGCTATGCCATGTACATTTAATGTGATTTGGAAACTAAACTATTTAGCTAAACTATTTAGCTATGCCATGTACATTTTATGTGATTTGGAAACGCAGAACAAATTGCAAAGTGATAAGTTTAAGTTTTAAAAACTTTATGAAAATCTCTCCCAATTACTCCTAGATAAATATACAACAGTTACATTTTAACATTAATAATTTATTTCATAATAATTAAGTGACTAATTTATTTATTTAGTGAAACATTTCCTGGAACATCACTATTTATCAAAGGAAGTATTAGACACTGAGGAGTCAAACACAAAATTCAGAAGTAAAGCAATTTTCTAGTTGAGATGTCCAGTGAATCCTTGTATTTTCCATTCACAAACCTAATAGATATCACTTCACTTTTTTCTATTTTTCAATTTAACAGGCTTATTTCTTTTTAATTATTTTTTCCAGGGTACAAGAAATAGAAAAAACCCATATATCTATATATCTATATCTCTCTATATATATCTCACATTAATTACCTGTTAACTCAGTAGTCAAATATTTAAAAGAATAAAATCAACACCCAATCTGAAGGGCTCCCTTTCTGAGGCTAGTACCCTAATTCCTCCTTGCACTGGAAGTCATATATTCACAGCTACTCAGCTGTTACTGGTTTGAGGTTTCTGGTGACAATGTGCCAGTTAAAATGTTATCTGCACATGTTGACAAGTGTCAAGGGAGAGTACCAACTGTTTCAAATAC